CTCTTTGTAACTTAACGCGATCTTTCCGTTTTCGAGTTTTGGACATGATTTTGGAGTATATCTTCACAGTAGCGATTGACCGCAAAGTAAAGCTACCGGAAATGTACAACCCTACATCTGGTCTCAAACCAGGAAGTTAGCATTTTCTCGTGCACAGGGTCAATTACAAAGAGAGAACCCCAACGATCACATGATCCCCACGAGCGACACCTGGCGACGCTGTGGAAAAACACCTCCCTCATCCACAGTGACATCCTCAGAGTTTGCTTTCACTTAACCATAAAGCAAGTGTTCACAAACTATATACTGGGAAAAGTGTTTCAATCTAAATATTGATTGAACATTATAGGATCTATGAGATGAGATTATAGACCTTTAAAGCTGACTTTCACTAAACAGATCTATCTAACACAGTTTACCAAATATTTGAACAAAATTTGAGCCCCATCGTATAAAAAGTCTCCACATAATCAGCCATAAGTCATAAGATCAGGTGATGTAGTGTTTGACAGATGCGGCCCGTGGCTGAGGTGAGGCATCCAGACTCACCCTGAGTCAGCGCTATGAGTCAAGACACAACACACAACATTGCAAATGTGGGCCAAGCTGGCGTTGCTGTTTGGGCCATTTTCAGAGGAGGTTCATAAGATAAGTGAAAGTAAATCAAAAGTTAACCACAGACAGGTAATCAGCTGTTAGGTAAAGGTTATTAACCTGAGGTATCTCTAAAGAAATGTGATTTATTAATCCTTTAATGCACAGATGAGCGAATATTTTTAATGGGAACATAAATCGATTCAAAACTCAAGACAAAAACAGACTAAAATCAGATTATATGCACATTTGGGATGAGGAGCTCTTACATGTGCGAGGCGGTCGAAGCGTGCAAAGAGTTCATTCAACATTCGCACCAGCTCCTGCGCTGACAGCGTCGTGGAGAGGTTTGTGAAGCCTTTAACATCTGCGAAAAGAATGCTGAATAAAATACGGAAATGTCACTTTAATATCCAGCTCACTTCTTAAAAGTTATGATACTTAATGAGGATTACATTTTCTGTGATGTCAGATTTTGCACATTTTACGTAAATGTCACAGTTTTGTTCTTAAGAGCAAAAACACTCAAATGTCTTTATTCGGGGCACACACAGGTGTTTCGCTGTTGGACCCTCACCTGACATTCTCGTAGCGGTGGATGTAGATTCTGTGAAACTGATGCTGGAGGTGTTCGTCCTCTACATTTGTCATGTCGTTGATCATTTCCAAAACTACAAAACGAGGCAGGACTGATAACACCAGTCGTTCCTGTTGGGGAGAAAAATGAATCATCTCATTGCTTTGAAATGACAAAAAGACACGATACAGAACAATAACATAACTAGGGCTGCCA